AAAATATGTGAGATAGAGCTTCAAAATCTTTGCCTCCACAGAGAACCTTGGTTTCACCTTCTCCAAGACAGACCTATTTGTTCTGTTGGCAGTCCATGTATGTTCAATACTCTTCTGCAGCACCAAAACTCAAAGTTATTGATTCTTCTTCTGTCATTTGTAGTCATCATCCAGTTCACTGATACAAAGCAAGTTATTGTGAAGAGTATGGCCTGAATCTGGCACACCTTAGTTTCCAGACTAATACTGTTCCTCCTCGGTACTCTGGAGAGGTTCCTGACAACAGATTTTCCCAATGCAGTTCATCTTTTAATTTCCTGACTGCTGGCCCGGAAACTGTTGATTGTGCAGCCGAGAAAGCTGAAATGGTTAACAACTTCAATCTCTTCTACATCATGGTGCTGCTTATTGCTTATTGGCTGGGGGTGAGAATATTTGTTTTGGGGTTTTTGTTTGTTTGTTTATTCTTTGGTTTTGTTTTTTTTATGTTGAGCTTCAATCCATATTGAAGTACACAGTCCTTGATTTTCTGCAGCAAGCACTTCAGGTTCTTCTCCGTTTAAGCAAGCAAGGTTGTATATCATCTCCATATCGCAGGTTATTGAAGAGTCTTCCTTCAATCCTGATTCCATAAATCCTCCTCATAAAGCCTTTTCTCCCAAATAATATGTTCTGCATATAAATTGAAAAGGTCTGGAGATTGGATGCATCCCTGATGCATTCCTTTCTTGATTTTGAAACATACAGTGTTTCCTTGCTTTATTCTGACTACTGCTTCCTGGCCCAAGTATAGATTTGGCATAAGCACAATCAAATGTTCTGGGATTCCTATTCTTCTCAAGGCTAGCCACTATTTGTTGTGGTCCACACAGTCAAATGCCTTTGCACAGTCAATGACACATGGATAGAAATTCCTCTGCTACTCTTTGTTTTTGACCAATATCCATTTAACATTGACCAGTTTAAATTGAACAGGTTCAGCAGCACAAAGGGCAGATTTCACAAGTAAGGTAGAAGTAGAGCATGCTTCCTTAGTGATGAGAGAGTCTTCCATGAGTCACACCTATAGGAGAGAACCAGCAGCCAAAGCCACAGCAGAAACCAGAGATTTACAGAGCTGACCTGGGACCACTGTTCTATGAAGCCAGAGCTAAGGACCTTCACCCAAACTTGCTGGAGGACTAGGCAGAGATACCATAATGGGCACAATTTAGCCTAAAAGTGTATGACTTAAGGCTGAATGGCCTATAAGTATGCTTAAGAAGCTGCCCTGACTAAGAAGTTGTATTCTGTTGCCAACTTGTGTTATAACCTATTATCTTCCCTGGTAATTCCCATAATCAAGTATGGTTCTATAAGGTCTGTGTAGCTGTTGCAATGAATTTCAGTCCTTCCTTGCAACATGCCCAAAGTTTGTCAGATGGAGCTTTAAAATCCTTGCCTCCAAGGAACAGCTTGGTTTCACCCTCTCCAGGACGAACCTGTTTGTTTTCCTAACAGTCCATGGAATTCAATACTCTCCTCCAGCACCACAATTCAAAGGCATCAATTCTCCTTATATCATCCTTAGTCATTCTTCAGCTCTCTGATGCACAACAAGTAATTACAAAAACCATGGCCTGTATCAGGTGCAACTTAGCCTCTAGACCAACATCGTTACATTTGAGTACTCTGGAGAGGACCCTAACATAAGATTTTCCCAACACAATTAGTCTTTTGATTTCCTGCCACTGGTACCAAGAGTGTTGATTGTGGAACCAAGAAAGCTGAATCTAACAATCTTAATCTCCTTTCCATCTATCATGATGCTACCAATTGGCCCATTGGTAAAAACCCTTTATTTTCTTGCTGTTGCGCTTCAATCCCTGTTGAAGGTTGGAGTCTTTGACCTTCTGAAGCAAACGCCTCAGGTCCTCCTCAGTTTTGACAAACAAGGTTGTGTCATCTGCATAACAATTTGTTGATGAGTCTTCCTCCAACGCTGATGCCACATTCCTCATAGAGCCCAGCATCCCAGATAATCTATTCTGCATACAGATGGAAAAGATATGGAGAAAGGATGCATCCCTGGTGTACAACTTTCCTGCTTTTGAACCATGCAGTGTTTCCTTGCTGTGTTCCAATGACTACCTCCTGGTCCAAGTATAGGTTTCACATAAGCACAATCAAGTGTTCTGGGATTTCCATTCTTCTCAGAGTCAGCCACAGTTTGTTGTGATCCACACAGTCAAATGCCTTTGTAACATTAATGAAACACAGATAGACATTCCTCTGGTACTCTTTGCTTTCAGCCAAGATCAGTCTAACATTAGTTATAATATCCCTAGTACCATGGTCTCTTCTAAACCCAGCCTGCATTTTTGGCAGTTCTCTGATGATGTGCTGTTCCAGTCATTTTTGGATAATTTTAAGCAGAATTTTGCTTGCATGTGAAATCAATGATATTGTTCAATAACTTCCACACTCTATCAGGTCAACTTTTTAAAGAATATAAACAAAAAGAAATATAGGAAAGGATAAACGCTAAAGACGGGGGAAGGGCCATAGGACAGAAAGAAATCTAGAGAAGGCTGATAATTCTGGAACAGATAGTTTGGATATATGGGATGGCATTAGAAGTTGTACTGAAATCTCAAAGGCATACAAATCTACCAGCTTCTCAGCAAGAGGAAGATGAGAATGATAAACAATCTACTCTCATGCAATTTACTAACTCTGAAAACCTGCTATGAGTTCTGGCTTGACTGTACAAAACAACAACATAAGAAAACAAGTTAACAATTCTAAGTATCTAGGAAAAAAGGCATAAAAGAAGTGTTCTATGGAGGACAATATGCTGAGTAAAATATATCAGTCTCCAAAGGATAAATACTGCATAATGCCACTGTTATGAAGTAGGACTTATATGGAGGGCGGAGAATAGGAAAAGAGTAGATAGATAATGACCACTGTATTGGAACAGATGAGGGAGAGAGCTGTTTCAATGGAATATATGATCAGGCATTATATGTAAGACAGTGGTTCAGAATAAGAGGTATATTACAAAGAAGAATAGAGAAGGGAGAACTGAGGAGGACAGGAAGGAAATTGTGCAACAATTAGTGATTTTTTTAAAAAAAAAGTGAACTAGGGAAAGGGGAATTAAGAGGGAGGGAGGAAATTTTGCAAAAATGAATGAATGAAGAATCCAACTTGTTTGTAAATTTTCATTAAAATCACAATTAAAATTGAAAAAGTAAAAATATTTAGTATGTTCTAGATGGATAGAGAGACATTTTGCACCAACAGAATTTAGTCATTAATTCAAATGTAAGAAATAACTAGATCTAAACCCTAGTTCTAGGAGTTAAAAATCAGAGAAAATAATATTTCTTTGCAAGGGAAAAGAGGCATAACTAAATTTTTGTTACAAATCACCAACACTATAATGTGCGGTGAAATGGCTTAAAGAAGCTGAAGTCATTTTAACCTGTATAAAACTGACATAGAAAGTCCTCAGCAGTCTTCACTCTAGGATGAAGTGACAGGGAGATACGGAGCATTCTCACCCATTGGTCCCTTACCTGTAGGGTGTTACATGTGACACCTACAAGGTTTAGGAAAAGGTATCATCTCAAAAGGAAATCCATTTATGAACACTTTTCTAACACGAAGGGGGGAAATCTAAAATAATAAATGCTGATTTCTCTCTTGCATGATTTGTTCTATGTAATACTGTTGCTTGGTAACCTGAATATAATGCACTATAGGTTAAAAGAGAAGGGGGGAAAAATCAAAATCAAACCAGCAAACTCCTATTGTAATTTCCAGATATTTCCTGTGCTAGAACATTCACCTTCAGTGTAAAATAGCCAGGATAAAAAGTACATATTTTTTACCTGATAGTTGTCAATTTTAAGCTAAAATAAAGGAACATCTGCATTAATGATTTTGACAGGAGTAAAAAAAATACAATTTCAATCCATTATGTGCTCAAATTCATAATTACTACTGTAATTGTGAGGTCTTATTTCAGCTTTGTCAAACACACATATAAAAATAGATCTCTGGCTCATCTGACCACTTTTAGTATTTGATACACATATGCATATCCTAATAGGCATATATCAAGAAAGAAATGGATGAGGACACTTAAAATTTACACAGCTAAAACTATGCTGATGGCTGAGCCACTCAGCAGAAAGGCAACAAAAAAACACTTAATATAACCAGAGAAATATACATAAATGTAGATTTAAAAATGTTATGATTTCTAGATTAAAAACAAATTATTTGTCTATTTGAGTTATCCATATCCTTGGAGGCAAGGATTCTGAGGCTCCATCTAACATACTTTGGACATGTTGTGAGGAGAGACTGGTCCTTAGAGAAAGACATCATGCTTGGGAGGGTCGAGGGACAGCGCAGGAGAGGAAGGCCCTCTTTGAGGTGGACTGATTCAGTGACTGGGGTAATTGGGATGGGAGTGTCAGAGACAGTGCGATTGGCACAGGACAGAGCGGCGTTTGGGGCTGTTGTACATAGGGTCGCTATGAGTCGCAGGCGACTCGACGGCACATAACAACAACAACAACATCTCTTCTTACACGTATGCTTGTTTAACTTATTCATTATTTACTTCTTGGTTTAGTTCGGACTTTTTCCTAACATGTATTTTGTGTTCCACTGGACACAACAGCTGGCAATGTTCTTGGCCTACTGGCACACTATTTTTTGCCAGGTTCCTCTTGAAACAAAACAGTATCTTACAGCTAGAGGGCTCCAGAAATTTCACCCCTCTACCTTCCCTCTGCCCAGAATACACCCAAACTGTAAAGGGAGTTAGATCATTCTTCATTTTTATTCCGTTGACATGAAATTGAGAACATTAGTGGACAGCTTTATCTCAGCTAAACCCAAATGGGAGCTGCATCATGTCTTTCTGACATTGTTCTCTCAGCTACCAAAGGCCACCACTGGCTTTCTTCCCCATCCCTTGAAAAACAATTTTTGTTTGTTACCTCTTACCGACATTTATTTTGACAATTTTTTTCAGAGAGTCCATCTTCATCCTCTCCCATGATGTCCACAGCTGAAAATATCAATGCAACCAGAATGGCAAAGCAGCACACCAGAGCAAAGATCACAATGCACTTCTGTTGGGACTGGAAAAGATACAGAAGACATGGGAAAATCAGTGGGGCAGCTTTTGCAGAAGAAAATAAAGATTTCACAACCTTTCAAATTACCACGTAAGAAGCCTTTGGGATATAATATTTTTTATCTCTACCAGAGTACAGTTACTCTTAGGGAGAAAAATTAGAAGATATTTAAGTTTAATCTCCAACACAGACATCACATTCCCACTAAATTCAGTGTTGTTGTTGCTTTTAGAGACTGTCGAATCAAAGATTATTTATACCAACCCTATGAACAACAGACATGAACCCTGTCCTGTCCTGTGCCATCTTCATCACCTCTGACACACTTGAACCGATTGCTACAGTCACTGTGTCAATCCATCTCATTGAGGGTCTTTCTCTCTTTAACTGACCCTTCACCTTTCCAAGCATAATGGTCTATTTCTAAGGAGTGGCATCTCCCCAAAATATGTCCAAAGTTTGTGAGAAGACCCTTCATCACCCTTGCTTCTGAGGAGCAATTGCTCATGTTACGTACCATCGAAAAGGAACAGATCCATAGCTAACCCTGAAGTGGGTTTTCAGAAGCAATAAATCACATGGAAAGAAATTCCCATATTTACCTGGACTTGAACTATCTAGTGGACTTGAACTGTGTGCCTGTAGGTTGGCAGCGGAACTCTTTACTACTAAGCCACAGCTCCATAAGGACCCTGATAAATAATTCAAATATGGTCCTAAGATTTCCATCCATCCCCAATATGTCACTAATTTTATTTTTAGGAGGCAGCACTTGCAGTGGCTTTGGAGCTGACGTGGACAGACTTACAGGTTGTCTTCCCAAGGCTAAGCTCTTCAGCTTCCGTGCCTCGGTTTCTTGTCCTGTAAAATGGGGATAATAGTACAAACTACCTCACAGTGAAATCAGAGAAATAAATAAGGTAGACTAGCAGATATGGCACTGGAGGCAGAGCCTTCTTAAAAGGAATTAACAAAGAAAGAGCAACAGTTGCAAACAGACACTACTGTTATAACATGGAATGTGAGACATATGAATGCAGAAAAATTGAAGATTGTTCAGGAAGAAATGGAACACATAAATACTGACATTGGTGAAATGAAATGGGTTGGCATGGAGCACTTGGAAGGAGCTGAACAGAAAATTTCAAAGGGCAGCTCAGGACGACAAAACATTGTATGAAACATGCAAAGAGCTGGAGTCAGAAAGTAAAAAAGGATAAACTCGCTTGTCATTCCTTAAACTGAAGGAACTGAAGAACAAATAAGTTGCAATACTTAACGATGCTGAGGGCAGAATGTTGAATGAGCCAGGAAGCATCAAAAGAATGGGCTGACCCAGAAGAATTTCATGAAACTTCACATAGTCTAGAAGCAGTGATGATGAAGGAGGAAGTTCAAGCTATACTAAAGGAATTGGCAAAAAACAAGGCCCCAGAAATTGATAGAATATCAATTGACATATTTCAAGAAACAAATACTACCCTGGATGTTCTAACTAGGTTTCGCCAAGAAATTTGAAGGAAAACTATCTAGACGACCGACTGGAAGAGATCTACATTTATTCTCATTCCAAAAAAGGTGACCCAGAGAGCTCTGGTGGCCTAGTGGCAAGAAGCTGTGCAGCAATCCTGAAGGCGCACAGTTCAAATTCACCAGATGCTCTGCTGGAGAAGGATGGACAGTCTCTTCCTGTGCCAGTCAGATCCAACTCAACAGCACACACAACAACAACAACAACAACAACAACAACAAAGGAGAGAGAAAGGTAACCCTGTGGGGATATTACTGAACAATATCACACATATGAAATGCAAGCAAGATGCTGCTGAAGATTATCCAAAAAATGATTGAAACAGTACATCAGCAGAGAACTGTGAGCTATGAAAGCTAAGAAGAGGTTGTGGCACTAGGGACATCACAGCCAATGTTAGATGGATCTTGGCTAAAAGCAGAGAGTGTCAGAGGGATGTCTTTCAGTCTTTCATTGAGAAAGGAATCTGACTGTGTGGATCACAACAAGTTGTGGCTAACCTTGAGAAGAATAGGAATTCCAAAACAGTTAATTGTGTTCATGTGAAGTTGATCCTTGAACCAGGAAGCAGTAGACAGAACAAAGCAAGGAAACACTATGGTTAGGATCAAGAAAGATGTGGAACAGGGATGTATCTTATCTTCGTATCTTTTCAATCTAAATACAGAACACACCATTTGGGAGGCTGGACTTTATAAGGAGGAATGTGGCATCAGGATTGCAGGAAGACTCAGCCACAACTTGTCTTATGCAGATGAAACAACCTTGCTTGATGAAACTGAGGAGAGCATGAGGCATTTGTGGCAGAAGGTCAAGGACTGTAGTCTACAATATGGATTGAAGTGACACAACAAGAAAAAAAACATACTTTTACCAAAGGGCTAATTGACAGCATCATGATAGACAGAAAAGAGATTGAACCTACAACCAGGAGAAGATAAAATAGATGAATGGGATCTTCTAAGAATCAAATCCCTATGCACATCCAAAAATTTCTCCAACAGGGGAAAAAGGGAAGCCACCAACTGGGAAAAATTACTTGGTAATGACTTATCAGATAAGGGACTTATATCCAGAATTTATAAAATACTTAATCACCACAAGATAAAGGTAAATAATCCAATAGAAAAATGGGCACAGGATATAAGCAGACACTTCAGCAAAGAAGACATTAAGATGCCTAACAAGCACATGAAGAAATGTTCAAAATCCCTAGCTCTAAGAGAGATGCAAATTAAAACAACTATGAGTTATCATCTAACCCCAGACAGAATAGCAAAATTGAACATAACAGCAAACAACAAATGCTGTCGAGGTTGTGAAGAAACTGGAACCCTTATTCACTGTTGGTGGGAGTGTAAAATGGTACAACCATTGTGGGAAGTGGTATGGCACTTTCTCAAAAAATTGCAAATAGAGATACCATTTGACCCACCAATTCCACTACTGGGAATATACACCAAAGAGATCATAACTGACACCCAAACAGATATATGCACACCCATGTTTACTGCAGCTTTGTTCACATTAGCAAGGAGTTGGAAACAACCTAAGTGCCCAACAACAAACAAATGGATAGACAAGCTGTGGTATAGTCACACAATGGAATACTACGCTGCACTGAAAAACAAGGAACTCACGCAATATTATTCAAAATGGGTGACTCTGGAGGCCATTATGCTGAGTGAAGTATCTCAGTCTCAAAAGGACAAATATTGCATGGTGCCACTGTTGTAAAACAGGACTGACCTTGGGGCTGAGGAGAGACTGAGAAAGATGGGTTCAATAATGTATACTGCATAGAAACAGATGAGGGAGAAAACTGTTTAAAAGGGATATGTGATTAGGTATTTTTGTCATGACTGGAGTCTAGACCAAAGGCTACATGGTGGAGTGGACTTGGGGGAGGGTTTGTAAAACAATGAAAGAATTCTTCTTGGGGGGGAGGGTTGGGAGGGGAGAAAAGTACAATAATGAATAAATGGAAATCCAAAGTCTATGTAAATTTTTACTGGAATTCATAATAAATTTAAATTTAAAAAAAAAGAAAAGTAAGGGGCCTGGGTATCTCAGTCGGTAGAGCATCAGACTTTTAATCTGAGGGTCCAGGGTTCAAGTCCCTGTCCAGGCGCTCTAGCCAAGCACAATCAATAAGAGTGCATCTAAATTCCAAAATCAATCTCCATAATAGTCTATGTGTTTCCTACTGCCAAAGGGGCCCTTTAGAGTAGTGAGAGAAGATCTTCACCCTGAAACCCACAGCGTCCCTTTTCAGCAGGAAGTAGCTAAGAGAATATGCCATCCCCTTTTCCTTATGAATCAGGGTGAAGTCTCTCTCAGGGAGGAGTGATAGGGAATGGCAAAGGACACACCGACAAAGGATATTAATCAGAACTGACTTTGACAAGCACTGTGGCAATTGGACAATTAAAACAGACATTCGGATGGCGGGGAAGAAGAACAAACTGGGGAGGAGGGTAGAGAGAACGGTGCAGCAATGAAGGAATGAAAACCCAAAATCCCTGTAAATATTCATTAAAACTAATAAAATTTAATAATAATAAAAAAAAAGAAAAGAGATTGAGACTGTTAATAATTTCAGCTTACTTTGTTCCACAATCAACATTCCTGGCACCAGTAGCCAGGAAATCAAAAGACAAATTTCACTGGAAAAGTCTGCTGCCAGGAACCTCTCTAGAGTATTGAAGAGAATCTATGTCAGTCTGGAGACTATAGTGTGCTGGATACAAGCCATAGTCTTTGCAATTACTTGCTATGCATCAGAGAGCTGGACAATAAGGATGATAGAAGAAATATCAATGCCTTTGAGTTGTGGTGCTGGAGAACAGTCTTGAACATACAATAGTCTTCTCAGACAACAAAAGATTTGTCTTGGAGAGGGTCAAACAAAACTGCTCCCTGGAGGCAAGGATTCTGAAACTCCATTTCACAAACTTTTGGCACATGGCCAGAAGAGAACAGTCCTTAGAGAAGGACATCATACTTGGAAGGGTAGAGGGACAACACAAGAGAACACCCAGGATGAGATGAATTGACTTAGTGATTGGAGAAATGGGATTACGTCTGTTGGAGACGTTGAGACTGGCACAGGATAGGGCGGGGTTCAGTGCTACTGTACACAGGGTCAGCATGATTCATGGTTGACTTGACAGCACATAACAACAACAACAACAATTATATATTATGTCCTTAGGACAGTTCCTGAGAAATAGTGTGTTTGCCATTATTAATATATTTATATTTGCAACAAGTCCACAGGTGAAGCTGCTTTTACTATTCTAGGCACTGTATGATCCAGTGCCTCAAATATCTACACTAAGCTGTTTAATAAACACACATTCATCCTTTAAACTCACACGACCTTAGTAGTCATTTCTAAATATTAAAATTATGATAATAAATTCATCCGAATGAGTTAAATATAAATCTCATTATTTATTTTCCCTCTTAG